GAACATTTTATTATGTTTATGTACAATATTCATGTGTGATAATTAACAGAGACATTTTATGCTAAACCTTTTTCGTGAACATAGTATTATGGAAACAACACAATTTTACTGTTGAATAATTTTATAAAAACATTTCATAAGAAATAGATTTATACCCTTTAAGACAAACATTTTATTCTATAGAAATAATAATAATAAAAAACATCATATTTCTATATATTATATCATGTCTTTGAAAGAATAATCATTGAGTGCTTATAGTAAAAATATCTATAATATTGAATATTACAGATGTTTCAGGCTTATAACTGTGCACAGATACATTGATGACTGTGTCACAAACGAGAGTTGATCCGTCGAAATTTTCTTGTCATTATGCTCATATATTTATAGTCAAGTTGAGATGAATTGACTTTATGTTTCAAAAGATTGACTGTTAAAATGGTGTTTGACCAACAGTTGATATTTGAAAATGTTTAGGATAAAATTATAAATCTGCCTTAAATATAAAAAGACTGTCCCACTCTTTTTATAAACTGAACGGCACACGTATATTCTAATGGATATTTACAGAAAATTCTTTTGGATCCGTACAGTATTTATTGTTTCTTCAAAGTCAATTATGAGATCAAAAGGAATTATTGCAAATGAAAACTTAGTTATATATTCACATGTTCACTCAATATATACCCTTGGATGGACATAATGTCACTTTGAAATAGGACTCGCATATACTTAGTGAAGCATTACATAATATTTCAGTAATTGCACAAGTTGTGTTTTATTTACAGATAAAGAAAATGAGCTTCGGCTGATGCAAAATCTTAGGTCTGCAGGAACACAAAAGGATCCTAAAGGTATTTAATGAAAAGAAATACTGAATAAACCGAGTATTTAAATATGTTATCAATAAGGATTTCTTAACACTGAAAATAAGACAAACTGAAAACAGCTTTAGAACATAATTGTTATGTAATACATTTACTTGTTGGAGGACAAAAATGAAAATGTAACTCAAGTGGATTTTACAAGCTATATTTGCTATATATAAATCTATAAATAATTTGAAGTAAAAAAACAGTTCTTTAACTTTTTAATGTTATTCTTGATAAAAACTGCGCAGGTAGGTATACACTATTGGAAACGAAACATGATTTGACAGATAAAATCACGCGAAAATGCACGTTTGTTAATATGCATGAATCAGAGTGCCATGTAAAAAAGCTATTATTCTGATGGTAATCAACATTAAAATCATGATGAAACCGATGTTTATTGATTCGAAAAACATAACCAAACCTGGATTTACTTAATCAGACATATATTCTAATGCACAAATGGCGCGCTAAATGCACATTCGTTTTTAGCATCATCATCTGCAAAAGTTCTTAGACTTTTTTATGTCTTCTTCAGCCTCCTTGCGGGCGTCCTGGCTGCAGATGTTAATGTACGTTACAAAGTCCATTTACCCTCTGTTATGTCATTAGTTTTTTTTGTTTTTTTTTCAGAACACTTCTTGCTTGATCTACAGATAAAAGTGATTGCTAAGAATGTTGAAAAAAGTGCTGACGGGAATCAAAAAGTTTATGAAGTAATGAGAGACTATATCCAAAATAAATATGATAAGACTGGATCGCCTTTTGATGTAAGATCAACTGATACACCAGTCTATCACCTCCTTGATTACATCAAGACCATAGAAAAATGCCATATCGTTGATATTTCTCTCACTAACCAATCGTCAACCGACATACAAATCAACTGTCTCAGTTCTGTGGCCATGGAAGATTTTCTTAAGAGTATCAACAGTATCGAGTTTGAACAAGAACTGTTTAAGCTTAGACGATGGTTATATGTGCAATATGACATTGAAACCCATGTCATAATAGCTAATTGCTCGTCAAAAGGCATAGAAAAAGCAAACAAACAACTGCGTAAGTTAAAAATAAATATTGATTATATTCTTTATATGTAATTATTGAGTTTTCTGTCCCAGCTGGTGCATTTGCAATTAGTGTACATTGAATGAACCCATTAGCTGATGAAAGTAAAATTAATTTAAGTTATCAATTTTTTTCTTTTGGTCAATATCGTTAAGATATCTACTGATTAATAAAAGAACATTATACGTTTATGTTTTATATCATTTTTATTCTGTTAACTCAAAGACATGTACATATTTTTGAAAGCGTCATTTCGATATCTTCAGACTTTACTGGTGTAACCAGAAATATGACTTGTGCAAAGCATCAAAATACACAATGTACTCTCTATTGTCCTGACCATGACACGTTTTTCTGCACAGCATGCAGGGAATCAAAACATAGGTACGTATAAATTTCTTACAATCAGTAATTTATCAAAACGTGGTAAATGCGGAACAAATGATATCACATTAAACAAATGAATTTTGAAAGAGTGCAATAATGACTGACAAATTATCAATTAAAAACATTACAATTTGATTTAAACAAACTAGGCCTTCCTTTAAGAATTTGTGTATGTCTTATAAAGATTTTTAATTGAAAATTAATTATACGACTGTTGGTAAAATATGATTAATGAAAACAAAAAAATCAGCAACAGTAAAATCTCTTCAAATAATGTCATACACTATATACACATGAAAATACAACTTTCATGGATCAGATGCTGTTATTTCTCTTTTGACAGTATTGAAATCATTTATAATCTCATTTGGTTTGTAAGAGGATGTCAGAATAATTATACAGTTTCACTGTAGATAGTTTTTTTACAACAAGTCAGCGATACACTGAAGTGTATCATATTTCAATGTACAGTTTCATTTATAAACCTGTTGCTGGGAGTATAAAATATATCTACATGTTTAATAGGTCAGATAGTTTAAGCTAGCAAATATGCGCGTTTAGAGAGAGATTTTACATCAGTTAGGAGAGACACGCTGATAGTGTGTAGCGGGTTATTTTTTTGTTAAGAAGAGAATTTGTTGTTTTGTAGGGAGTTTTGTTGGTTTGTTGAAGTGGTTGAATATAATTGTGGTGATCTTAATTGATCTGGGTTTATTGGTTGTAATTAGTTGTCTTGGTTGTTGAGTTATATCTGTTTGTGAAGATATAATTGGTTGATATCGGTTGAATGTTTGTCTGATCAAGATTATATTAGTTGATGCTTTGTTTTGAGGATATATGTAAATATTGGGTGCTTTAGTTTAAGTTGTTTTCTGATGCTGATTAGATCGTGTGAAGTTAATATTGTTGGATGAATGTTTGTGGTTTATACTGTATCTTAGAGTTGTAAAAATATTCATTTTGTGTTCTGTATTTTGTGGTGATTTTATTGTTTTGTTTGGTCATAAGTTGTTTAGAGCTTGGGCTCGCCAGGTGTCTTGTTTTGTTTCGTATAAAAGACGTATACCTGGAAAGATATTTCGTATAAGTGGCTGATAAATGATGTGTGTTTGTTTTGGGTGTAAATAATGATCAGAGTTCTGTGTTTTGGGTGTAAATAATAGTCAGAGGTTGTTGTTTAAATGTATATATTGATTTGAGATAGAAAAAGATAAAAATACCTAAAAAAAAATAGTGTTAACTAAACAATTACATGCTAGTTTTCCAACTGAGAATATTTCAATTTTATGTCAGGCGGTGCTGCCCAGCCCCCATATCTTTGAAATCGGGTCCAGTATTTATTACTGAATCTTTCCTTAGATTAAATAACATCAAGGCAGACATCTCTCCTGACAATTTGGGGGCTCGTCCGGGATATACTCTTTAAGTTAGAATCTTTCCTGGCAAATTATTGTTTGTTAAATTTTGATAAAATTTTTGTTCAACCTTAAACCATTTTCGATCTGTTGGTAAAATGTAGCAGTGTAAAATGCTGTTAGGCGAAAATCGATAAATCTGTTGTAGTGTTATACAAGTCAACTCTCTGTGCAATAGAGTTTAAATAGAGGTTTATATGTATAGAAGCGGTGACGGACTGTGTTTAAAAGTTTGTGTATACTGAAGTAGTTATTGAATTTTTAGCAGGAGAGCCCCTTTGTTGAATCCTTTTTTTTACGGTGATAAAATTTAAATTGGTTTTTGGGAGCCCATTTTTTTCGATATTTGAATCATTGTGTTAAAAAGTTTTTTTATCGATGATTTTATTAAATTTTTAATTAAAAACATCAGTAATTGATAATTTAAAGGTGTTCGGGGGGGTGATTATTCATAAAAATGTTTAATAGTGAATAGATGTTTTTGCTCCCGGTGCCAGGGGGGTTGTTTTCTTAAAGTTTAAAAAGTTTTTTAACATACAGGTAATTTTTACGGTGCCCTGGGTTAATTTATTGTCGGGCCCGCCCATTGTTTGTAAAGTTAGATTTGGAAAAAAGTTGTGCTACAAGGGGTAAAACCATTTTGGGGAAGTTAAAGGTTTTTTTATTTCCCGAAATTGAATTTTTAAAAGAGTAATCCATTATTTAGCAATTATGGATTATGATAAATGGGTATCATTGGGAGAGAGGCTTGGGTTGAAGGACGGGGAGTTACGTGATTATGTTCAAAAGAAAGAATCAGAACATCTTGATAGAGAAGAGAGAAATATTAGAGGTGAAGAAGATAAACGGCGATTTGAGGCCGAGCGTTTAGAAAAAGAAGCTGAACGTGAGGAAGGGCGACGGCGTTTTGAGGCCGAGCGTCTAGAAAAAGAAGCCGAGCGTGAGGAAAAGAAACGTTTATTTCAAGCTGAAATACAGATGAAAATGAAAGAGCAAGAAATAGAATTAATGAAGTTAAAAATCGAGGCTGGGGATCGCCTTGATACCCCACCTAGCACCGGTTTGAGGCCAAGATTGTCTAAATTATGAAGAGTCAAAAGATGACATAGATGCTTATATTGAGCGTTTTGAAAGGTGCTCCATTAGTCAAGGATGGAAAGAAGACACATGGGCAATAAGCTTAAGTTCGTTATTAACGGGGAAAGGTCTTGAAGTTTACACTAGTATGCCTCCTGAGCAAGCATCAGACTATCAAGAATTAAAAACAGCAATTTTGAAAAGATACCAATTAACAGAAGACGGTTTCAGAAATAAATTTAGAGAGAGTAAGCCGGAACAAGGGGAGACTGTAAACCAATTTATGGCTCGCTTAGATAGGTACTTTAGCAGATGGACAGAAATGGCCGACGCTGCGGATACAGTAGATAAATTGAAAGATCTTATTATTAGAGAGCAATTTGTCAAAGTTTGTTCAACAGAGCTAGCTCTTTTTCTTAAGCAACGAAAGCAAAAGGATCGTAGAGATGTCATCTCTTTGGCTGAACAATACTTAGAGACTCATGGCGGTACAATAACAAATAGTAAAAGCTCAAAAGTTGCCATCTTTTCAAATAAATCACCAATACGCCTTAATCAAGGTAATCTATCGAAACCAATACAGCACTATCACAGAGAAAATAGAAAAGTTACATGCTTCATATGTAATAGAGAGGGTCATGTGGCCAGAGATTGTCGAGATCAGACTAAGAAAAGATATGGGGCTGCTGCAATGTCATATGGAGAGCAAAATAGAAATTACTTTAAAACAAATCGGGATTCTTCACCAAGGAACTGGCGTAGTAGGCCTGGAGAAAATAGACGTGATGGGAGAATCAGATGATAAGAAAGTATCGGGGTTATGTATGTCAATTTCTCCAACAAGTTCTTATGATGGTTGTATTGAAGAGGGGAAACTTAAATTAGCCAATGGTAATTCTGTGCCTGTCATAACAAGTAGTTGTACAATTGAATCATTAGAAGGTGAACGTCAATTGGATCTGAAAGTAGGATATGTTGGTAATCAAGAGGTGAAAGTTCTAAGAGACACTGGTTGGGAGTAAGCAGTAGTTAGAAAGAAGTTGGTCGAAGAAGATCACATGTTGAATAAAAATTGTGTCATGATAGCAATAGATGGTCGGGCCAGGTTGGTACCTATGGCAATAATAGACATTGATACATCTTATTATAAGGGTAAAATAGAAGCTATGGTTTTAGAGTCAGCAATTTGTGACTTTCCAGAATTTTGTACTTCACAACAGCAGGTGTCAAGTGCCGTGTGGCAGCCGTAAAAAGTTGCCCCGTACTTCACTTCAGTGTTGTTATATTTTCTGGTCCTTCGGGATCATTGATGCCAACACAATACAGTGTTGAGAATTGAGTACCGCTCAAGCCGGTGCTTGGGGGCGTGAGGGATGTTGCACTTTTACATTATCCCTCATGTACAGACTCAATCAAACCGAGTCTGCAATTCTCATGTTATTTTGTTGTGATTAATGCTTCCGAGGGATCACTTTGTTTCCAGAATTTTTTAGTCTTGGGCAATATTCAGGGTGTACTTGACAAGCCAAATGAGAAGTGGGTTAGCCGAGAAGTAACAAACATAGCTGCTGTTGTTACTAGAGCACAGGCAGAAAAAGAGAAGAAAGCAATGAAACCTCTTAAAGTTCCAAAGGTCGAAGATAATGAAATCACAGTAGATGTTCTTATGAAAAAACAATCAAATGACAATGCGTTACAGCGTTTGTGGCAGTATGCTAGGGAAAATAAGATCATGAAAACAAAAAGTGTTAATAAATTTAGATATGAAGTAGAAAAAGATGTGTTGTATAGAATATTTGAGACGGTGAAAGGTGATTTGAAGTCTGAAACAAGACAAATAGTTGTTCCTAGTAAATATCACAAAAGAGTTATGTCATTAGCTCATGAATCTATAGTGGGTGGGCATTTGTCTGTACGCAAGACTTTAGACAGGATACAGTCTAGTTTTCACTGGCCAGGTATTTCTAGTGATATCACTAGATTTTGTCGTTCCTGTGACATATGTCAGAAGACGGTGCACAGGGGTAGACTTCAGAAAGCTCCTTTAGGTGAAATGCCTATTATTGACACTCCGTTCCAGAGAATTGCGGTTGATTTGATAGGGCCAATAACGCCTGTATCGGAAAAGGGAAATAGGTACATATTAACTGTAGTTGATTATGCTACACGTTACCCAGAAGCTGTTGCTTTACCAAGAATTGAGACTGAAAATATAGCTGAAGCATTGTTAGATATTTATGCAAGAGTAGGTTTCCCATCGGAAATACTAAGTGATAGGGGTAGTCAGTTCACGTCACAACTTATGTAAGAAGTTTGTAGACTTGTATCACTGAAACAGTTGTTTACTACCCCTTACAATCCAAAATGTAATGGTCTTTATGAGAGAATGAATGGTAATTTAAAAAACATGTTGCCTTCAACACACAATAAACTGATGTTACAATGGAAAGGTCCATTTGTTGTAAGTGAAGCAGTCAACAAGTTTGACTACAAAGTGAAAGTAGGTGATAGAATTGGAATGTACCACATAAATCTTCTGAAGAAATACGAAGAACGAGAAGATAGAATTTGTGCGAGTGTAGCTGTAATAGAAGCCGAAAATAATGATGATACTGGGGCTGTTGATGATGAAAATTTTTAAGAACTAGTAGACAAACAAGGTGAAGAGACGTACAGAGATGTTAATGTTAATGATCAATTAACACTTGAACAAAAATCAGAAGTAAATGCGTTGCTTCAAGAATTTGAGGATATTTTTACTGATATTCCCGGAACATACAGTTTCACTGTAGATCATATATTTGATATAACTGATATAAGTGTATCATATTTCAATGTACAGTTTCATTTATAAACCTGTTGCTGGGAGTATAAAACATATCTACATGTTTAAAAGGTCAGATCGTTTAAGCTAGCAAATATGCGCGTTTAGTGAGAGATTTTACATCAGTTAGGAGAGACACGCTGATAGTGTGTAGCGGGTTATTTTTTTGTTAAGAAGAGAATTTGTTGTTTTGTAGGGAGTTTTAATGGTTTGTTGAAGTGGTTGAATATAATTGTGGTGATCTTAATTGATCTGGGTTTATTGGTTGTAATTAGTTGTTTTGGTTGTTGAGTTATATCTGTTTGTGAAGATATGATTGGTTTGATAATTGGTTGAATGTTTTGTCTGATCAAGATTATATTAGTTGATGCTTTGTTTTGAGGATTTTATGTAAAAAATTGGGTGCTTTAGTTTAAGTTGTTTTCTGATGCTGATTAGATTGTGTGAAGTTAATATTGTTGGATGAATGTTTGTATTCATTTTGTGTTCTGTATTTTGTGGTGATTTTATTGTTTTGTTTGGTCATAAGTTTGTTTAGAGCTTGGGCTCGCCAGGTGTCTTGTTTTGTTTCGTATAAAAGACGTATTCCTGGAAAGATATTTCGTATAAGTGGCTGATAAATGATGTGTGTTTATTTTGGGTGGTAAATAATGATTAGAGTTCTGTGTTTTGGGTGTAAATAATAGTCAGAGGTTGTTGTTTAAATGTATATATTGATTTGAGATAGAAAAAGAAAAAAAATACCAAAAAAAATAGTTTTAAACTAAAAAAAATTAAAATGCTATTTTTCCAACTGAAAATATTTAAATTTTTAAATTGTCAGGCGGTGCGGGCCCACCCCCCAAATATTTTTTAAAAAATGGGGCCCAGAAATTTATTACTAAATTTTTCCTTTAGATTAAATAACATCAAGGCAGACATCTCTCCTGAAAGAGGATTGAAATATAATATGCACATCACCTTTGGTAAACATTCGAGTATTGGCAACATAGAACCAAATGACGGCTACTTTAGCGGGGTAATATTTACGTAGGTACCGATGCCGCACAAGCGAGAGAAATCATTGTAAAACGAAAACAATGAGCAATCTTTGTCATTTGAATGGCATGTGTATAAACGTTGGTTTATGATGTCGCCAAGGTTATAATATTACAATATAATAACTATCTTGCTTTACATTGAAAATGATGACTTTATACATCGTCTTGTCATGTGGTAAACATTTTTTCACAGTAAAGTAATATGATGTGAAGGAGTTTGTAAACTGTTTAGTAAAACTATATGAGTTAAAAGAATATCTTCTTTTTTCGCATTTAACACAAAAATAAACAACATTCGCGTCATAACATTTCACGAATAATTCGGCATAAAAATAAATAACTTTCGAAATTTCAATTCTGCGAAACACAATAGGGATACCATGTATTCAATATGTCAATAATATTCCAATCCTACAACAATTAATTATTATTGTCTTAATACGTAATGCATGGAAGATATATTTACTGGCGAATTAACACAAAAACTATTTCAAATTGCTTTTATGATTATGAAATATAAATTGCTAAATAAGGAAACATGAGTTTTAAAAGTTTAAGCGAATGCGATATTTTAATTTGAATATAGTGCCTTTATCGAGTCCTGTACTGAAAAAGCATTTATTATTAAAATCATATCGTTTAAAACTGCAATTAAAGACAAAATAATTTTTTTTCAGTGCTAGATTGATTGTGTGTCTAGTATTTGTTGATATTGTATATACATCACTATTCATAGTCATAAATGAACGTCAAAGAATCTTCTTATTTTTATTTATACAGCACATGTCATGGCATAAAACAACTTATGTCTGAAAGGTCTTGTGTTGAACAGAAACGTCAACTAAACCTCAACAGTACACAAGGATCATATAATGTTAGCATAATTAATACATTGATAAATAGAGACAGCAATGATAAATCCAAGTGTTATATCTATAGTATGTGTATGCTTCCTAATGGTAAAGTTCTCCTTGCTGATAGATATAATTACAGACTGAAGAAATTAAACAGTTCGTACAAGGTAATCAGTTACTGTGATGTAACTGCAATTCCTTTTTCTGTATGTTATATAGGCAACGATACAGCTGTTGCTAGTTTAGGAGATACCATACAGTACGTGAATGTGTCAGGTAATATAACCCTAAGACAATTAGTGAAGCTAGATCATAAATGTTACGGTCTAGCTTGTCACGGTGACATACTCTATGTTAATAGTGGTGACACAATTTACAAATATGACAAAGATAAATGTGAACAAAAATACGTTCTCTATCAAAATGGTGAAAATCTGCACATGCCTTACACATTCGTGCACCCAATTGCTATAAGCGACAATGGGGAACGTGTCTACTTCAGGTCAAATACAGGACTAACCACAATAGATGCCGAAGGAAATCATATATTCATTTCTCGCAATAGTGGTATATTTGAAACTTGTATTGCTGGAGAAGGTATTATTCTTGTATTAGGTGAAACAAACAATCTTCATCAGCTAGATTATAATGGAAAAATACATCAAACTGTAGATCTCAATTCCATACCATTTCCGACCACTTCGATGTATACTATGTGTTTTGACAGAGAAAGATGTAGACTTATTGTTGGTGGTGTTGATAACATGATATATGTTTACAAATGTGAGATTTTGCCAAGTTAATTGATAAATTTGTTTTGGTAAACCAAGAACCAAATGAAAAATCTCTGCTAAACTAATTTAAATAATCAAATCATTCCAATTAATAATTTTGTAAGTTGGCTGATTTATTCCTCTTATGTATTTATAATTACATGCATATAAAAGATGGATATTTCATAATAAAGTTTTAATAGATACAAGTTTGACACTTTTTAAAATCCAAATCGAGATAATTAAATAACAAGACAATCTTTTTAAAGGACTTGCCAACGAATTGATGAGATTGATTTATCCCGCATATTGTCAAAAAATATAAATGATTATTTATAGCTCATATGAAAAAGAAACTTCATTCCAATTTATCATAAAAAAACACAATATAGGTATTCATCGTAAAGACTGCAGGATGAACTTAAATTAACGTCGTATTTGATTATTTCAATACAACAAGTTTGATAACAATATATAATTTCTAAATTAAGTTCTTTTACGGCAATCTTTTTTATTTTTAGTAATAGCTTGACCCTGTGGGTTCAAAAACGATCCCAACCGGGGTTTCCACTTGAGGTATCTAACTCTATTCATTGTCCAGAATCCTTGAAGTAGACTTACCAACAAGCCGACTCCTATATACCCTCTAAACTTCATAATTATGTCAAAATGTCAAATGCATTCTTTTTTCACTAACTATTTTCAATAACACTTTAAGATATTAAAAAAACTTTTAAAGTTCTCCTATCAAGCATTTTATTGTATATGAACTTTGTCTTCTGTGTGTAACATTGACATTTGCGACCTTGACACCAAGGGGAAACATTTGTTCCATGTTAAATCAAAATTTCTCCATGCATGAAGAAAAATTGCTCCGGATAAGCATTTTCTTTTTGACCTTTAAATGTGCCCTTGACCTAGGTTATTCGCGTAATGTTTCATAGTGGTAAACATTTGTGTCAGGTTAGAAGTTTTAGACAAGTTTTGTGACAGATGGACAGACAGACGACGGAGAAGTGATCCCTATATGTCGCCACTACTCCGTAGAAGCGACACAAAAATCAAGCAAATTACAAAATTTGAGCTTCAAGGTCATAGGTGAAGGTCACAATCAATTTGATCTGCTTACTGGACTTTTCCAAAAGATTATTGTGTCGAGGCATGAAGACAATCCATTCATAAATATCAAAGTTATAGCCAATCATAATAAAGTCAAACAAAATTCAAACATTTTATCTTGGTCAATGTCATTTATGAGTCAAGGTCAAGTTCAGTCTGGTAAAGATGAAGGTCTTGTACAAAGACTTGTTGTGTCGGAACTATGAAGACAAGCCATTTAGACTTAAAAAATAATGGCCAATGTTAAAGTTTCTGGGCGGCAAAGGCAACAGCAAAGACAACCTGACGGTAACAAAAGCTTGAAAGTTTTTTATGTTCTTGGAAAAGGTCAAGATAAAAATCAGCAGGAATACAGTAATAAACAATAAATTTCGATAAAATCAATCTTGGGAAAAAGGTACTTATATTTTAAGAAAAGAACAGGATGGCCATAATGACCATGAAATCGCTCACCTGTATATAGGCCCCCGGGCGGGGCCAATTTTAACCCAAGGGCTTTTATTTAAACAAACTTGGTAGACACCCATTAGAAGATGTTTCCTGATAAATATCTAAGCTCTAGCTCTTTGGGGTTTTTATAAGAAGATTTTTTAAGTTTTTACTATACACATATAGGGAAAAACAATGACCCTCCATGGGCGGTGCCAATTTTGACCCCAGGGTTTTTATTTGTTCAAACTTGGTAGACTCTGACTAGAAGATATTTCATGCTGAGTATCTAAACTCTAGCTCTTTTGGTTTTTTAAAGAAGATTTTTAAGTTTTTACTAAACACATATAAAGAAAATCAATTAACCCCTGTGGCGGGGACAATTTTTACCCCAGGACTTTTATTTGAACAAACTTGGTAGACACCCACTAGAAGATTTTTCATGCAAAAATTAATATATACGCTGCAGCTTTATGCAGAGTTATGCATGGAATTAAATTCTTTGAACAATTTTTAAAGTTGACCACCAAAGGAACATTCCTGTAAAGTTTGGATGAAATTGGCTTAGGTTTATGAGGTAGTGTCGTTTAAAGCAAAAGTTTACGGACGGCAGACAAAAAGCGATCACTTTAGCTTACCATGTCACTGTGTGACAGGTGAGCTAAAAATTCACCTTTTCAAGAAATAATTCGCATATCATTATATATGCCATTAAAGACCAATTGTGTAGTAATATAATCATATTTCACAAAGTTAGGCTATATTTGCATATTTTGACATATGTTAGGCAATTTTCGTAGATTTTAAGTGCCCTTTGTAACGTGTTCTTTTACTTTCTCTGTTCACTTGACTATGTTTTACTGTTAAATACATTTACATACATACATGATTTCCTGTATAAATTAGCATGAGTCTTGAGGCATGCCGCATTAAACTGGAAAGGTTCATTATCAGTGTTTCTGTCAAGTACAGAACATTTCACAATACCGGTATCATTTTTCCCTCAGTCGGTATCATTCTTCCCTCGGTCGCACCACTTGCATCTACCAGTGGTAAACAGCATGGGAACGCTGCACATATATACAAGTTGGCCTAACTCTATGGTGTTTGCAATGGCTAATCACTTTCGGTTTCAGCAGGTGAAATTATTAATATGTTTACTTAAACGTTAACAATGCCAGATGATAATGATCTTGAAGGCATGTGTGTAGTTACGAGCAAATATCTAAAGTTGTTAATGAGATATGGTGTTGTACAAGATGATGTATGTAAAACTTTAACCAAAGTGATAACCAGATGTCTGGTTAAATACGACAGCACCACTGCTCTTCAAATAGTCAAGCAAAAAAAAATGATTCAAAATCTGTAAATTATATACATATTTATTTTCACAAACACTCCTTTTTATCTATAATTTATAAAACAATATACACACAAGTCACAATCACAAAACAAGCTTACCAGAAGCACTAAACACCTATACATTTCTAACATTCACACAAATGCCTTACTCTTATGTCCTTATTTCATAAACACAAGCATTTAACTGTTCTGAGACAAATTTTTATAGTTAACTCTGGATTTTCACCATTAACCTTTTAGTCCGGAACATTTTAACACTGATTTGAAACCGCGGCCTATGCTATAATATACAAAATTTGTGCAAAATTTGAGAAAGACTGAAACATTTTATAATATATTTGTTGCAATCAAAAATCGGAAAAGAAAAATAAACTTCAACTTCTAAAAAAAACAACATCTATTCAACGTTATTCATATCTTTACAATATCTGAGATCTTAATGTGTATAAAAAGCTTCTCCAATCCCTCCCCTACGATAGAAAATGCAAAGTATATCATTGTAACAATGTTTAGCTAAATATTAAAGGTTTGTTGAGGAAGAACAGAGGAAATTTTGAAAAATGTGCAGAGAAAATTTGTAAGGTTTTAAGTCGCATCAACACTGTTAAAGTAATATGGTCACTTTCCAGCTTTTACTGGTGGAGGAAGACATCAGATTTCCTGTCCCTGTATTATTTCAGGCACAAGCAGGTACCTGACGAGTGCCATCAACCCTTCCAAAGTTGATCAGCAACCTTTTATGAAAATCAAAAGTCCAACCTTATATGAAAATCAAAAGTCACAGACGGGATTCCAACCCAAATGAGTGATGGACAACTGTTTTGAAGGAGGCAATCTTAACCAATCAGCTACAGAGCATGACTAAATCAGCCAACAACTAGTTGTTTTTTTAATGAACTTGGAAGCATAAAAACTGCAAGGTTTTGATATTTTCAAGCGTGTATTTGCATCAGTAAAAATCCCTATCCCTATATCAACTGGAGAAACTCTTTTAAAAAAATGGTATTGTTGCAAAAGTTGAAAATGAAATTTGAGTCCCAATCACCCATTAAATAACAGTCGATCTGAAAACAATCATATCACAAAATAAACGGCAAACAAAACGAGCAATGACTATAAATCAAGCAGTAAAAAAACAAACAAGGAAACATTCATTACCATAGAAGAAGTCAGCTATTTCACAAAAGGTGGAGGGAGGCATTGTAACAAATGGAGTAACAGAATATCTATATTTATATCTTCATAAAAAATACTGAAAACAAATGCAAACCTATGTGATATATATATTTTAAGCATTTTTTTGTCCTCAATTAACAATATACTCAACACTAGTGATTATTAATTAATAAATCAATCAATTTCAATGAGATTATTAATCAATTAAGAATATGCAATCAGAACACGTATATTTCATTGATCAGTAATGTACACAGAATAATATAAAGATAAAATAAGTTCAATAAAGACAGACATATGAACATCCTGGTAACTATAACCTACTGAATCTAATTTACGGGTAGTAAAAAAAACGAGTAAAATACATGCAAGTAAACTCAATCTCAGACATTTAGATAATACCCCAAATTTTAATGGCAGTTTCGTATATGAACTTAGAGCACTTTTCTAATTTTATATAAAAAAATGACATAGAAAATGAAAAGCTCTGGTGTAACAGGTACATGCTTTCTAATGTATATTTTGTTTTTGTCATGACTTCTCAATTTTATAATGATCGTAGCCATAGGTAACAAGTATAGAAGACAGTATGGATGTAAGGTCTGTCAATATTTCTTCACCTTAGTGCAGTAACGGGTTAACTCCTATTAAACTATGTAAGGAGTTCATCGTTACTGCACTAAGGAAATGGCATACACAAGGAAAAGGCAACGATCCTGTCTATGGATGCAATAATATGGAAAATGTCAAACTTCTGTTCAATATTCATAGGAAAATGATAAAAAAAATTTATACACAGGTATAAACTTATTATAAAGATACATAAAAGGCCAAAAATTTCTTTGGCTAGCTACGATTAACTTATTTCATCAATATATTCTTTATATAAAAGTGTAAAAAATTTGAGAATGACAGAAGTATAACTGAATACAAATCCTGGCAAATGTAACATTAACAATTGTTAATAAAATAGCAATGGTAATCACCTTACAGCCAAAGTAAATGATTTTGGTATCTACTTAGTAATAAGAATGGTGAAGGGGAGGGAATTTCTAATGAAAATATGAAAGGTGATGGTATGAAATAAAGTGATCAAATATAATTATCCTAATGATAACATGATGGTTTGAAATGGTTACCAGAAGTGTTGTAAAATTCACAATGAAAAAGTGGAGGAAAAAAGCAAATTTTTCCACATTTCAATGTTTTACTCATGATATAAGATTTCAATGCACCTACATATTATATCTCAAATGATGAACAGGGAAAATAATTAACATAGCATTACAATGATGACAAAAAAGAAGCTCTTTAATGTTTTTACACATAACGATATGTTTATTATGAAAAAAAATCTCAAAACTCTGTGATTAAAATGCAGATTATTAAACCCTATTACCCATGGGAAACAATTTTACTCTTGGGCAATTGACAAATAACGACTCGAATTGAGAAGAATTACAATTAGTCTTGATTATATAAGAGAAAAAATTAAACAAAAACAGTAAAATATTGGCATGATTTCACACACATTCAACACACTATATCTCTATCAAAGATGATGATTTTTTTTTACAATATCAAAAAGAAAATATAGCCACAATAATGCAAAAGAAATAAAAGTTCATGGAACATCCGTGGATTATCCCAGTACAGTAAGTAACAACATTTCCTAACACCATTCGAATGAAACTTCTTCTATTCAGGATATCCATTCTTCTATCTCTCGCTAATTAACACAAAAACACTTTTCCGAACTTCGCGGTAAGATTTTTCTTTCTCAAAAATATATCTATTTAGGGTGTAAAAAGGAACTTTTCCTCTATAATGTCTTTGCACCTAACTCTTCTCGGTTCATTTCTTCATACTGCCGTTTTTTTTTTCCCTAACTTAAAACACGATTCCTTTGTTTACACAAGAAATAAACTTTTATTGTCACACTTGATTTAGAATACTTTAGTATAATTTCATGATTTCGGTTGTTGTTTTTTTTTTCATCTGAATTTTTTTCACTATTTCATTAAAAGCACAGTTTTTCAGTTTGTTGTAATCACTTTACATAAATATATATAGTCAACATAACAATGTCTAAAACTAAAAATACAACTTATTTCTGTTTATTTTTTTTGTCCATCATGTACTGGGTTTTTAACGATTTTTTTTTTTAAAGTTAATGTAAAAATGATACAATGTTTAAAGTATATATCCAAGAAATCCTCCCTGGCCATTCGAAGCTGTGGCTTACATTACTGTGGTTTGCTACCTCAACATGGCGGATGCCCTGCAATCACGTGATTTAATGCTATGTTTTGATACGGTTATTTGGATTTATTGCAGTTTGTTGCACAGGTCACGTGACATTTATCAATGACATGATTGGTGAAATAAGTTAGAACAGTCTATTTATCAAAACATACGGAATATGGGTGGTTTTGTTGTAATTCATTTATGAAGGTCTGAAGCACTAATATAACATGTCAAGGAGATAGAAGAGTCCATTACGGACAACTTGTGTATTTAACTTGTTTTGGGAAAATTTGGAGATAGAACATTACAGTTTTCAAGCGACGAAATATGCCCTTGGTGGCACTTTACATAAAATTTATTGTACACTAAAGCAGCTATATATGATATTGGAGTCATATACTGTTTAAATATGTTAAAGCATGGGAGCAAATTATTAATATAAGATAAACCTTACTCTACATCAATTACTAGTTTATGTTCACAGCAGGTTTTTGTTTAATTATACTAAATGGTAAACCTGTGTATTTAAAATGTATTTGAAAATATATTTCAGATATGTTCAGACAGTTTGACTTTTCCAGGAAGATAAGTCACAAAATGTCAGTGTTAGAGGTAGCTCACCGAAGGTAAAAATAAAGAAAATAACTAAGACACAACTGGAAAAGCCAAAGAAACACTTTAGAGAAACATTGCTGAGACTACAGTCAGTCGTTGAGATTAACTTTGTGCGTATTAGTACTGATGTGGTTACAAATGAACTCAACAAACCACAAGCCTGTCAATTATAAAAGTAAGTGCTGTAATCTAGCGGCTGAGCCAAAGCGTTATAATTTACACCTTAAGCTTCACATTGCTTTATCAAAATATCAACTACATTTGTATTATATTAAGTCATTACCTGTTTTGCTTGATTAATCATACAGTACTTTTGGCTCGTCTTTTCGATAAGAGTAAGTCCTAGTCACCCAAGCGTAACCACTTATGTTAAAGTTTTTGTAATACCTCAAATATTTTCGAAGTCCATTGGCATATGGCTTTGAAACTTTGCACACTTGCACACTTGTTTGCCACCATGACCCAAACCTTTAGACTGGAGGAGCCAACTCTCTCAAGCATTTTGACAGATTTATGCACCCATTTCACTTAGAATTAACGTTAAAGTTTGCGTTCTACCCCCAAATATTTTCAAACTCCATTGACATATGGCTTTGAAACTTTGCATTCTTGTTCACCATCATGACCCCAACATGTAGACAGAAGGAGGTAACTGTCTCAAGCATTTTTACAGAACTATGCCCCTATTTCACTTGGAATTTACGTTAAAGTTTTTCCACACCAAATATTTTTAAAGTCCATTGACATATGGCTTTGAAACTTTGCACACCTGGAAAGTGCAATTTCTGGCACTATATAAGATTTTCTGACATAATTCTTAAAGTCTTAAAACACATATGCCATTTTTATTAAAATTTCAACAATTTAATTTTATACACCATCATTTTATACATTATCATTAGCTTTTAAATGATCCGTAAAGATCTAAGGATTGGTCTTTCGTAATTTTCTCACTTTGCAAAACAATTATCTCGTTGTGGTTTAATTGCAATAAAACTTAACTTATCTCTGTGAACAAAATATCTGACCTCCTGTTGTGTAATATGTTACGTAATTTATGACCAGTATTGATGATTAAGTTTTTCACAGGTTTTTAGTATGAACATACATTGGAAGAAAAGAACGGGGAGGGGTCAGATAAGACCTCTCATTTATTTATTTGAATTCCTATCAAGTTGTTATCCGAAAGATATTCCTTTACGCTTTGGTAATTAGAAATTAAGGACTGCATTAACCACACCCGCTTCAATTATTTTGCAAAATGATTCTGTTACGGTCAATGAAACTTGGGTTATCTTTGGTTGGTTGTCCGCCATTCGGCATTAAGCTTGTCCGACCTTCACAAGTCAAACAACTGTTGGGATTTCAACCAAACTTTACAGGAGTGATCAGTACCATCCCTAGCTGAGCACATCTCAAGCACGTTCTGCTTCGTTGCACAAAATGGCCACCAGAGCTTAAAATAGAAAATCTTGTCCGGGTTTCAAAGGTCAAACTACTGGTGGGATTTCACCCAAACTTTACAGGAGTGATCAGTATTATCCCTTGTTGTGCACGTCTCCAGCACGTTTCGCTTCGCTGAGCAAAATGGCCGCCAGAGCTAAAATTTTAGCAAATCTTGTCGGGTTTTTCACTGGTCAAACTACTAATGGGAGTTCAATCAAACTTCACGGAGTGATCAGTTCCATGCCTAGTTGTGCATATCGCTGGCATGTTTTGCTATGCTGAACAAAATGGCCGACAGGGCTATAAATAGAAAAATCTTGTTCGGCTTTCACAAGTCAACCTACTGGTGGGATTTCAATGAAACTTCATTGAACGCCAAATTTCCTTGTTGATCTTGTTTATCATATTTCACATGAGTGACCATACATAGTTTTAGAGACATAGGCAGGAATTCTTATGTGAGATAAATCTTGTTGGCTTGAAGATGGTTTGACATAATACTTTTCTCTGGTTTTATATTTGATAGACAATGAACGCTTTCTTTAACAGTTACTAAGTTTTGTAAATAATAATTTGAACACAATTGCGGCATATAATTTTCAGCAAAATACGGTAAGTATGTAACCCTAAACATATAGTACATATGTATAAGCTTTCAGAACGCTAGCAATTCAATAGTGTTCTTAAAATACTGTATGAACTTTAAAACTTCAACCTTTTACAAAAATAAATATTTTTGATTTATGTTAACTAGCATCTAGAGAGACTAGCAAAACAGGCTAACAGTCCTTTTTTCAAGCAGATTTTTCTAAGATTTCCAAATTTTTTCAGTTCCTTTTTACTAAAACAAGAAAATTAACAAAACAAAAATGGTCAAAATAGTGATTGACCAAAATGAAATTGTCAGTAACCAGCATATTCGTCTTGTCAGAGTGACCAAATTATTTTGTCATATTAATCAAGATACTGAAAATTGGTCATTGAGTCATTTATGCACGAAAAGCTTTCTGTAATATATAAAAAGTAAAAACATTAAATAACAATAATTTAAAATATATTAGACTCACTTTTGCACAATTGTATTGCTAAGATGACAAACGAAAATCAATATTGTTATATTTGGGTATATTTGGGTGTATTTGGGTATATTTGGGTATTTCGTGCCGCCGAAGATGACAACGATATTATCGAAACGGCAACGATCAATCGCAACTTTTCGGCCCTTTCCGTGAGTCTTCGGATAAGAATTATTATAGATTATAGTCGAGGCAGTTACGAATGTGGCAACGATATTACAGTCGCTAGGTAACCATGTACATAATCCCATAATGCATGCGTGACAAATAAATGTGTGAAATATTCAGGAGGATTAAAGTGATGACTACGGGAGCCCATTGAGGCCGTTTTGATTAAGAAGTTAGAACTCAGATGTTTGATGTTAGATCTTAGATCTTAGAACTTAGATCTTAGAACTTAGCTCTTAGCTCTTAGAACTTAGAGGTCCCGTAAAGGCGGGAAAACGCTATATTAACTGCAAAATGGACAAGGAATGTAAGTGAAATTTATAAACTTTTTATTATATTCTTTAATTTTATCTTAATTAAAAATATTGCAGAGATATAGCTAGTACGTTAAAAGTTTAAGTGATTATATCTTAATATATAAGACAGGGGCGTACCTCAGCTTTATTTGAGTATACGACAAGTTCAGGTCTTTGGCAGAAGAGTTGCCATAGACTCATACCAAATATAGCTATAGCTAGCAGTGCAGTGATATACCGGGGATTTAGGGAATATCTAAGCGATAAAATGTCATTTTATTGTACTGCTATTGTCTTTATCAATACATAGTTATAAAAATATCATCAAGTACATGTATTGGATGTAAAAGAAATTGCACAAAGTCTAACGTGTATACTGTTTTAAATAGTTTAAACTTATTCACTATAAGAACACCCGAACATAGCCAGGTCTCTCCAATATAATCAAGATGGGCTTTATTTGCTTTAATCAAGATTTTTTCTTTGTTATTTTTCTTTTGTTTCATGAGATATGATCAAGGTAAATATGTTTTAAAATGATCTGTATAACAATAGTACAAAACACAACACCTTAAATGTTTAAGTGTAACAATAGGTTATTGTATTTTCAGTTAAATTGTAGTATCGCACGATCATTAATTAAGGTCCCATAAAAATGTTTTTTAAAATGCGTATTATTTCAATTTAAAAGAAAATAATTATTCTTCTACTCTTTCAATGTTCATTCGAAATATTTAAGTTATTTTATAACTTATTGTCTAACACACCTAAAAGCATGTTGATGTAAAAAGACTCGCCAACTCGTTACCTAAAGTCGGCGAAAATAAAAGAATTGGGACATGGCTACACATTGTTCCCGTTGTATTTTAAATGTATTGATAAGACTGCGTATAATAAAGAATATATCTCATTGTTTGCAGAAGTATGCAATTTATTTATATACTCAATCAAATAAGACAGTAAAAATAACATTCTATAATGATATATTTGTAAATATTCTTTTTACGGTCAAATAAACAAAAAGTTGTGTACGGCTTGTGATGAAAGATATGGGAAATGGTTCGCTTTCATAGGGCCCCAATTATTCTACAAAGTTTGAAATGGTTATGAATTAAAGATGAATGAATGCTACTTACTTAGACATAATATACTGACTTGTAACTACAAGGTAAAATATTAAAAAAGAATATCATATTATGGAAAGCTATGGAAAGCTTTCTTTTTCAATTTATGTAACCATTAGGATAATATATAAGTTCACTTCGACTATACATGTGTATGAATTGAAAACACCTTCTTATTTAACCGGAATCCATTATATTAATCCACAGTTACAATATATGAAACCATACCGTCAGTGTATGAAACCGAGGTAGCAATATACAAGTTGATTTTGTCAATATATGATTCCAGTTCTTCAATATATTGTACAAAAGTAGTCATGTATGGAATCATATATGAAACCGAATTATCATTATATTAATTCATTTTTCAATATAGGAAACCAATTTATCAATTTATGAAACCAATGTAGAAATATATAAGTTGCTTATCACTAAGTCGTAGCCACGAGTTACTAAGTCGTGGCCATGAGATAGCTAAGTCGTGGCCACGATATAAATAACCAATCAGATTACACCATTTATATGAATTCACCTAATTGACTAGACATGTGCTATGTTGCAACCACTATTGAAATAAAACCACTATTGAAATAAATTATTTCAATAGTGGTTGCAAATTATTTCTCATAATAAGCTTCATAACCCACCACTATTGAAGTAATTTATTTCAATAGTGGTCGTAACAAACTTCATCATCAACCACTATTGAAATAATTTATTTCAATAGTGGTCGTAATAAAATTCATCACTAACCACTATTGAAATAATTTATTTCAATAGTGGTCGTAATAAAATTCATCACTAACCACTATTGAAATAATTTATCTTAATAGTGATGTTTATAATTACATGTATCCTTAATTGATTTATTTTAATATACAGGGGGTTTGAGTTGAAGTTCCGGTAATTTCAAATGTGTTAATTCTTGTACAAATAATTTACGATTTTCACATTATATATCAATAGAAAGAAAAAGGTAAAGAAAAGAATATGAAAACAATTCTATACATCATTCTACGAGATTTTTTTTATTTCTGCACAACATTAAAAAATCCGAAAAGAGGTACGTTAAATTAATAGTCTCGGTTATAATTACTGTAAAATATAAGTCTTTAATACCTTTTATTTGCATTTTAATTTGCGTGAATTGGTTATATATTTTTGCACACCCGTGAAAATTGTAACATTATACCATATATCCTTTTAGTCTTGATTATTAATACCGTAAAATATGCAAGTATAATACCCACTTTTTATATCTGATATTGTTCGTTAGATAAAGTGTTTCTTGCGTTACAATAGTAATAACAAAGTAATATTTCTAAAAAGTTCATTCTCGTCTACAATAAAAATAATAATGAAACATTAGTCTTTAAAAGTGTCTGTAAAGTGACTCTTAAAATGAAATGCATCCCCAACTACTATTGATATAATTACTTCGATAGTAGTTGTATTTCAATAGTGGTGGCAAAGTGATTCTTCAAATGAAATAATCCCCAACTACTATTGAAATAATTTATTTCAATAATAGTTTTATTTCAATAGTGGTTGCAAAGTGATTTTTCTAATGAAATGCATTCCCAACCACTGTTGAAATAATTTATTTCAATAGTGGTTTTATTTCAATAGTGGTTGCAACATATACAGTGCGATAGTACAAGGATGTCCGTACATCACCAGCCTGTAAAAGTGCAATTTATACAACTTACTGACTGGTAAATTATTTTACATTTAGCGTCACTTTGACCCTGATTTTTGACCCATATCTTTATATATAAGACAGTGGCGTACCTCAGCTTTATTTGAGTATAAGCCAAGTTCATGTCTTTGGCAGAAGGGTTACCATAGTATAAATAAGGCTAATAGGCCGTAGTACGTACAAACCTACCAATTCGATCACAAAATTGCCCCAACAAAGAGCTATAGTCAAAATTAATGTCTAATGGGCCCTTGAAGTTGACTTTCTAATATGATCCTAAAGACAAGTTCAATGTGAATATCTTCAGTATTTTCAAAGATTAATGTTGCATGTAGTTGTAAGTTGTTACGTTTAAAAAAATCATAATATATATAGTGTATTCTAATTGGTTAATTATCTCGTGGCCACGACTTAGATATATCGTGGCCATGACTTGGTAACTCATGGCCACGACATAGTATCTCGTGGCCACGACTTAGCTATCTCGTGGCCACGACTTAGTAACTCGTGGCCACGACTTAGCTATCACGTGGCCACGAGATAAATAAAAACACGCACATGTAACCTTTGTGCCACCGTACACAACAGTTAGTCAGGGTGGAAAAGTTTTATGTAAAGAAAGAGTGTAGCAAATTAGCGTTTAGAATCCTGGTAGGGATTACTTGTACTTCGTAGACAAGGTTGCACTGGTGGATTTCAGTTTTCAAGGATCTTATTGATTTCAAAGTTTGGATATAACAAATCGTGTACACATTGAATTGCAAAGATATTGTTTTATGGATTTGATCCAAGCAGACCTCTACATGATAAGCTAAACCCAAGAGAATTTTGAAATACCTTACGGAAGACCTGATATAATGTATTTTGTACCTGGAATCTATCGTGGGCATAACTTTGGTCATCTGTGTTGATCAAGAAGACATACAGATATGCCAGAACTTTATGGATCACTTAATCGGCTTCATTGTAACAAAACCGAGAAACTTGTTCAACTGCTATCGTTGACTAACAGAAAGCTTCCGAAAGCTATTAAACGAATCGTTAATATTGAATCTTGAATATATATATTATCAATTGATTAATTATTATATTAATTATATTATAATTCTAAGAGAAGATTTATGTGATTTCAGACCCTTCAACCTGTGTGTCCCCATAATACCTTTTGTGCTAGATGATGCCAGTAATCTTGTTGAAATACCTATTGTACTGTTTCATGACAACTGTTAATGAGGAATGTCTGGTGTAGTCAGAGCTTCATTAAATGACCCTCTATTCTACATTTTAAATTATGTGCACTTTGCATCAGTGGTCAATCCTTCCGTGTTTCCATTTCTACTAGGTCAAGACCACATTAGCCACTTAAATAATAGATAACCATTGCCTTAATTTTAACGAGATTAACATTTGATTAGATTATCAGCGGTTTGATACTGATACGGGTTACCATGATATATTAGTATAAGACAATAATTTGTTTTATATAGTATTGAAATAAATATCCATTTGTTACAGTTACCTAAGGTGACAAAGAGGTATAATTCTGCACAAATGATTGATGTTGTGATCTGCTCTTGGCTACAAATCGGGGCCATCAGTATATTCACGAGGAATCGCATTACTGATTACTGAATAGGCACAATACAATTTTACAAAGGAAGTATATGGTCGTCACACTGGCAAGGTACCGAATGATGGCCAATGATCAAGCAATTGTTACATAGTTAACTATAATACTAGATGTAAAGCGTGCACAAATAATGAAATAATCCATTATTTTTATAAAAAAAGCATGTCATAATTGTGATTAAAGTTGCATGTTCCCTTAAATTCCAGTGATAAGGCAAATCACAGATTGCAAAAGTATTTTTTTGTTTTGCATTACTTGTATTTATATTTTTTATGTTGGCCTTTTGATCAAAGAAGTGTCAGCATCAGAAGGACCATATCAACTTTTTTAACGCGATCCATCTGCACTTGCGCGCGCCTGCCTTTTAGATTAGTCAACATGTATAACAATGTGGTGCAGACAAAATCGAAATAAAGGACTTCAAACAGGTGGTCCAAAGGGGGCCCGTGGCAGTGAAGGACCTACAAAGTGGCATAAACTTTGGCCAGCTTTCTTAGAATTTAGACATAAGAAGTTAGTTCTTAGAACTTATACATTAGAACTAAGTCATTAGAACTT